ATCAACACACATGGAAGCAGCAGTCAAGAAATCAAATGATGTATTTCATTAGGCAAATCTGCTGAAGAGGACCTTTTTATAGTGTTGAAGCACAAAGATGTCAGCTTGAGGACTAAGGTGCACCTGACCCAAGTCATGGTATTTTCAATAACCTCATATGCATGTGAAAGTTGGCAGTGAATAAGGAAGATCATAGAAGAATTGATGCTTTTGAGTTATGGTGGTGGAGGAGAATATTGAAGGTGCCATGGGCTGCCAAAAGAACCAACACATCTGTGTTGGAAGAAGTACAGCCAGAGTGCTCCTTAGAGGCCAGGATGGCCTAACTTCAGCTCTCATTCTTCAGACATATTGTCAGGAGGGACCAGTCACTGGAGAGGCAAATCATGTTTGGTAAGATGAAGGATCAGAGAAAAAGAGTAAGACTCTAGTGAGATGGATTGGGAAACTGGCAGCATCAATGGGCTCAAGTGTGGCAACAATTGTGAGGTTGACCCAGGACCAAGCAGTGTTTTGTTCTGTTGTGCATTAGCGTTGCTATGAGTCAGTACTGACTTAATGGCACCTAACAACAACAATATGAATATTTAGCAAACTAAGTAAATTTCCATTTAAATTATGAGTTCTATGAGTTATAGAATATTATATAATCATATATCACTTAATTTCTGTGAAATTACATTTAAATTCATTTAGAATTTCATAGGCTCTGATAATTAAAAAAATTTATTGGCTGACCAACTGAATCATTATCTGGTCCAAAAATTTTATATTGTCCTTTTATAATTCAATAAATTGTATTCGTGTCAGTTCAATCTTCTTAACATCAGACTTTGCATTCCAGTAAATTAATATAGTGATTCTTCTAGCCATAGTCTTTTTAAACTCCCACCAAAGGAGTCTAAGAAGGGCTGATGGGTTCGATGGTTCACTTCAGGGTTGTTGTTAAACAGATTGTTTATTGTAAATTCTTAGAAACCTAATGAGGGAATTGGTCCCTGGGTTACCATCCTTCTGGGCATAAAATGAGCCATCTCAGAAGCAGGAGGCATATGTCACTACAATCAAGAAGAGCCAGGAGTGGAGCATTATTCTTTCAACCCTGTGCATTGAACCCCCTCAACCTAGGGACAGAAAGCTGTGACACTGGAGGAGTAGCAAAGGAGGGACAGAGGAGAAGAAGTAGCAGGTCTGAAAGTCAGAGCACCAGACAGCCCACAGAGCCCACAGAGCAAGTAAAGCTGAGTGACTTTGGGCAGAAGGCTAGCTTGCAGAGAGGGGTGCCTCCAAGCACTTAATTGATGGAACTAGTCTACTGATCCATGGAGCTAGAGCCAAGTGCCTTCAACAGCACCCAAATACTAACTCAGATAAAAATTTCACAAAAGTCAAATAAAGCTACAAAACTGACTACAGGAAACCAGAGGTGTTAAGCACTGAACAGCAACAACTCAAAACAAAAATGGGAAACAAATGTGTAACTATAGAACTTCTATATGAAGAGGAAGTCAGGGCAATGTAGAGGAAAAAGATAAACTTCAGGGTAACCACAAAGAGAGTTAATAGAGCTAATCACCAAAATAAAAAGGTAATTTTTTAAAAGCTCAGTAAACACAAAAACAGTAATCATAGAAAAAGAAAATCCACATACAAAAAATAATAGCATAGAAAATAAAAAGTATTAAAGAAACCATTAATACAACAAAAGAAAAACATGGAAAAATAATTAATTCATACCTATCAAAGAGCTCTGGTAGCGTAGTGGTTACAAATCAAGCTGTTAAACTCAAGGTCTGCTGTTCGAAACTACCAGCTGTTCCGCGGGAGAAAGATGGGTCTTTCTGCTCCCGTAAAGAATTACAGCCTTAGAAATCCTGTACAGGGTCACTATGAGTCGGAACCGACTCCACGGCACACAACAACAACAACAACATCATTAATCACATTGAATGCAAATGGACTAAATGCATCAGTCAAGAGAAAAAGATTTAAAAAAATGACCATCAGTATGTTACCTACAAGAGACACGTTTTATACATAAAGACATATAAATTTAAAATCAAAGGATAGAAAACTATATCAAGCATATAGTAATCAAAAAGAGCAGAAATAGTAATAATAATTTTGAGTAAAAACCTACTATAAGAGACAAAGAAGAGTATAATGTAATGATTAAGGAGTGAATTCATTAAAAAGATATGCAAATAATAGATATTTGTGTACTCAATGAAAAAGCCACAAAATAAATAAAACTAACAGAATTTAAACAAGGAATATAAAGTTTTACAATAATTGTGAGGATGGTGTTGGTTGGTTGGTTATGTGCCGTGGAGTTGGTTCTGACTCATAGTGACCTTGTATGGGATTTCTGAGGCTGTAAATCTTTACGGGAGCAGAAAGCCTCATCTTTCTCCCAAGGAACAGCTGGTAGTTTTGAACTGCTGACCTTAAGATTTGCAGTCCGGTTCGTAACCACTAGGCTACTAGAGGATGGTATAGGACCAGGTAATGTTTCATTCTGTTGACATAGAGTCACTATGAGATGGAACTAACTTGATGACTCCTAACACCAACAGTAAGAAGAGACTTGAACTCATCACTTCTGACAGTGGACAGAACTGAAGTGAAACTCAGTAAAGATACAGAAAATCTAAATAACACAATTAAGTAACTAATATCCTATTCATATACAGACTCACCACCCAACAGCAACACAGTACACATTTTTCTGTAATGCACATGGGTGATTCCCCTGATACAAAATAGCTTTTCTAACCCTAACATTAAAACACTAGGGATAAATGATGGAAAAAGCAGGGGGAAAAACCATTCATAACAATATGGAAACTGAATTAACACCTTACTTAAAAACTAGTGAGTCACAGAAGAAATTCAAAGTGAAATTTCAAAAGTATTGTAATCAAATGAGAAGATTACAACATACCAAAACCTGTGGGACACAACAAAAGCAGTGCTCAAAGGAAAATGTACAGTAATAAATGTATACATCAAAAAAGAAGGTAGGAAATAAAAGTTTAAACACTGGTATAAAAAAAAAAAAAAAAGGTCGAAATCAGTAACTTAGCCCAACTCAAATAACTAGAAAAAACAGCAAATACATGAAGAAAAGAAACAATAAAGGTCAGAGGAGAAAAAAAAGGAAATAGAAAAATAGTAGAAAGCGTCAATAAAACTGGAAGTTAGTTCTTTGAGAAGATCAGTAAAATTGATAGGCATAGACAAGCCAAATTGACAAGAAGAAACAATCTAAAAAAAGGAAGAAAAATGGATGGCATTAGACAAAAATAGAACAGAACCAATCACAATATAAAAGGGTAACAGACTATTATGAAAAATTATACTCAAACAAATTTTTAAAAACCTAGAAGAAATTGGCAAACTTTCTAGATACATACTAGCTGCTTAACAGAAATGGAAGTAGAAACTCTAAATAGACTTCTCACAACAGAAGAAAGTGCAGTTTTCCTTAAAAGCAAAACAAAACCAAACCTCAAAACCATTACAACAAAAATCCTCATCCTAGATGGCTTCACTGGAGAGTTCTACCAAACTTTCAAAGGACTTTACATCAGTTTTGCTCAAAGTATCCCAGTACATTGAAAAGAAAGGAATACCAAAGCCAGGCAAAAACACCACTAAAAATAAAAACTGCAGACCAATGTCTTTCATTAATATAGATGCAAAAATTCTCCAAATTCAAGCCAGCAAAATTCATCAACATATCAAAACCCAAAAACATCATGATCAAGTGAGATTCATACTATCTATGAAAGGATGGTTCAACATTAGAAAATCAGTCAGTATAACTCATCCCTAGGAGTCCTGGTATGGTGCTGTGGATTAATGCACTGGACTGCAAAGTCGGTTTCAACTGCATGGTCGGCAATTCAAGCTCACCAGCTGCTGTTCAGAAACGCTATACCGGGTCGTCATGGGTTGGAACTGGCTCAACAACAGTAACAACAAATAAAGGAAAAGAATCACATGATCCTCTCAATCCATACAGAAAAGTCATTTGATAAAATCCAATACCCTTTTCCAATGAAAACTCAGCAAAATAAGAATAGCAAGAAAATTAGTCAACATAATTCAGACATATATGCAAAAACAATTAGTCAGTAATTTAATAGTTTGTCACAAATGTGCTGATTATTTTCTAGTGACAGTGAAGAACCTCCAGAAACCCTTTCTGACAATGAGGTCAACATCTCCATTCCTGTGAAATATGAGGTTGGACTACAGTTTCACAGGTAGGAGGAAACACTTTTATTTTGATGCATTGCTACTAAGTAATTCTCAAAGTTTACTGCCCCGCCAATAGCATTAGCAGCACCTGGGAAATTCTCAGGCCTTACCACAAACCTGAATCAGAAGCTTTTAGAGTGGAGCCCAGCAATCTGTGTTAACATCTTGAGTCTCTTGCACAGTAAAATAAGATAACAAGGGCACTAAATAATACAACATGTGAGGAGCTAGTGATATTTTGGGGAGTCCTGATGTGGCACTGTGGGTTAATGTGCTGCACTGCAAAGTTGGTTTGAACCACAAGGTCGGTGGTTCAAACTCACAAGCTCCTCCTTGGAAACCCTAATGAAGGTCTCTATGGGTCGGAATGACTCATTGGCACTTAACAACACAGAGTGATACTTTGGAGTCCTGGGGTGACACTGTAGGATAAGCACTGGACCTCAAGGTCGATTTGAACCACAAAGTGGTGGTTCAAACCACCAGCCATGCCTTGGAAACCCTATACAGGGGCGTTACGGGTTGGCACCGACTTGACAGCACTTAACAACAACAAAATATTTTACTGATGACAGACCACAACAATGAGAGATTTATAGGGTGTGTACTTAGATTTTGCTTATGTTTCTCAGGTCTTACATTCAGTCCCCTGCTTTCTGTGTTTGCCATATACTTTGGCTTTTCCCAAGAATCTCCCATTTACTTAAAATCAAATTTTGACAAATAATTTCTAAATGTCTATTTATGTATTTACCTTCTCTTGATTGAAGTACTGTTAAGAATGTGTTATATTCCATTCTAGCAAGTTTGTGGAGAAGAATGAATGTTTAAGTTTACCTGCAAATCTATAGGACTTTAGTTGTGGAGAGATACATTTAAAAAAAATAAATTTAAAATTCAACACTACTAAAATTATCTAGGGTTTGCATGATGATTCACACACTATAAACACTGTGAGTGAATTCATGGAAATATTTTACTTTTAATTTGATAACAATGGTAGCAAAATTTTTTTTAATATTCAGATTTTAACATTTAGAACCAAATGTTGTTGTTAAGAGCCATCAAGTTGGTTCTGACTTATAGTGACAAGGAGCAGCTGATGAGTTTGAACTGCTGACCTTGTGGTTTGCAGCCCAGTGCTGATCCACAGTGCCAAACCAGAAGTCCAAAGAGCCATCTGCAGTTGTTCAACTAAATCATATAACCCTTCTCCCTTCCTACAGATTTTATTTTAAGTTTCAGAGTAGGGGAATTTCCACTTGATTTAAATTCTCTGAGTAATATTTTAGTAGTATAATATAACATAACATAGTATGAACAAAGAAGAAGCAAATGGAGTCAAATAAAAGTTCTGTTGTATTTTATTTTTCTTCTTACAATTAATTTCTTTTAAGTTCTGCAAGTGAATACCATATTTCAATTGCGGCCAATGAAACAGTTCCTGAAATTATTAATTCTACTGAGGACATTGGAAATGAAGTTAATATCTCCTACTTGGTAAGAAATTATCTCTAATATTGTAAAGGAGTTATTTGTATGTGTATAAAATAGATAAAAGTATTAACAGATATATAGAAACATGTTTCAACATTTTAATCTGTTGTCGAATACATTTTCTTTATAATTTCACTATTTTAAAATAATTTTATTTAAATTATTGATAACTATACTTTGAGAGGTGGTGGTTCAAGCTCACCAGCCACTCCTTGGAAACCCTGTACAGGGTCGCTATGGGTCAGAACTGACTCTATGGTACTTAACAACAACAACAACAGCATACTTTGAGGACAAGTCCTGGTATGGCTTAATTGTGGGTTAATTCACTGGACTGCAAGGTCGATTTGAACCACAAGATTGGCAGTTCAATCTTGCCAGCTGCTCCTTGGAAAACCTACACAGGGTTGCTATGAGTTGGAATCAACTTGACGGCACTTAACAATAACAGTACGTTGAGGAGTTACGGTGTGGCACTGTACGGTAAGGATTGAATTGCTAAAAACAAGGTTGGTAGTTCAAACCCACCAGCTACTCCTTGGAAACCCTATCCAGAGTGACGTTGAGTAGGAATCAATAACATTTAACAACAACAACATACTTTGAAGTAATTTTTAAAAAGACCTCATTGTTGTTGTTAAGTACCTTAGAGTCAGTTCCCACTCTTAGTGACCCTGCACTGGGTTTCTGAGGCTGTAAATCTTTATGGGAGCAGAAAGCCTCATCCTTCTCCCGCAGAACAGCTGGTAGTGTCAAACTGCCGACCTTGAGATTAGCAGCTTGATTCGTGACCACTATGCTACCAGAGCTCCTTAAAGACCTCATTAGGCAGAATTAATTATAATGACTTCATACAAAAATGAACTATGATCAAATAGCAACTATTTATAAACCTGTAGACTTTTATTTATTTATTTATTTTCAGTATGACTGAAAAAAAATTTTTTTACAATTAAAATTTATTTTTCCAAAAAGTCTGGATTAAATTTTCCTTTATTCAACATAAATATATATATTCCATTCTTCTCTACTAAGTTTAATATATATTATACTGTAATTTTCTAGTTTTGTTACCAGTTCCATGTTGTCATTGTTAAGTTCCAATTAGTTCGTTCTGACTCATAACAATGCTGCATAGGGTTTCCAAGGAGCAGCTTATGCATTTGAACCACCAACCTTGTGGTTAGCAGTCTAGTGCTTATCCTACATCACCACTCCAGGACTCCATAGATGATGTTTTCTATTAGAATATTTTTCCTAACAACTCTTACAAATTATCATGAAGCTCAGCCAGGCTTATGGATGGTAACTTAAGTGAATGTTATTCAGGAAAACCTATTACCATTGAGCGGCTTCAAACACATGACAACCTTATATGTTACAAAATAGAACTGTATCCCATAGGTTTTTTTCTTGGTTGTAATCTTTATGGAAGCAGATTGCCAGGACTTTTCTTCTGCAGCACTCTGGACAGATTCCAGCCATCAATGTTTAGGTAATAGTTGAGCACAAACCATTTGTGCCACTTAGGGGTCTAAATGTTGCTTAAGTTCCTGTGACAAGTATACCCCAGAAATTTACACAGTCACTGTACTAGATGAGTATTTTGAATTAAGGCCACCAACTTTCTCTAACCTCATTCATTTTTCATAGGTAAGAGACTTTGAATGTTGCTGAACTCCATATGTTTTTACTTTTTGTGTCCAGACTTAAAAAAGGTACACTCACACTATTGCAATAATGTTGGTATAAATAGCACTGTTAAGAATATTCCTGAATGAGACTTTCAGAGCACAGTGGTAAAGTATGCAGATATGCTGAATCAACCCTCTGCAACAAAGACATGGGAGGCCAAGTAAAAGAGACAATGACAGTGATCCTGGAACCCTGAGCTTCAGAGGATAGGCTAGAGAGGTCACTTGAGTGTCAACTGGAAGAGGAAGCAGAACAGAACCAGCCAGAGAGAAGAAAAACAGTTGGACTTTAGGCTCCTCAGCCTTTTCAAGCCAATTGTTGATACAGTGGTCTGCAGCATAGAACACAGCTGGAGGTTGGTAGCAAGGGGTGTGTGGTTCTTTCCTGTTCCTGATTAGTCCCACCCTTGCCAACCCAGCAGTCAGTGGTACCCCCTCCTGTGCAGTGTTTGCTCTATCTGGGGTCAAATGCATGGCAATACCACGTCTGCTTCTGAATTGGAAGACTTAACGTTGTGAAGAACAAAGTTGGAGTGATACCACTTTCTGGTTTCAAAGTATACTAATACAGCACAGTCGTCAAAACAGCCTGATACTGGTACAATGCTACATACATACATCAGTGGAACAGAATTGAGAACCCAGAAGTAAATCCACCTTACCTAGAGTCAGCTGATCTTTGACCAAGGGCCAAAACACATTAAATGGGGAAAAGATCGTCTCTTCAACAAACAGTGCTGGCAAACTGGTAATCTGTTTGCAGAAAATGGAAACAAGACCCACACCTCACACCATATACAAAAATAAAGCATGGATTAAAGACCTACATGTACAATTTGAACTATAAAGATCATCAATGAAAAAGTAGGGACAAACATAGGGACTCTGATACTGTCACACATAACTAAAGACGCACAGTCAGTAGGAGATAAATAGATGACTGGAACCTCCCCCAAATTAGACACTTAATGTGCATCAAAGATTTCACCGCAAGAGTGAACAGACAACCCACAGAGTGGGGAAAATTTTTTTTTTTTTTTTTTGCAATGGCATATTAGACAAAGAAGTAATCTCTACAATACAATACAAACAATCCAATTTAAAAATGGGCAGAGGACATGGACAGACATTTCACCAAAGAAGATATTCAGATGG